CTGTCAACAGCCACATCTGTGCCAATGCATCATTATTTGTTGTTATTAATTTTTCATCGTATTTGTACATATTACCAACCCAGCCCATGAAATTTGGAAAAAATTAGTCGGCAAAAACCGGCAGCCTCGGCAATTTTTTACTACCTAGGCCTATATAGTATAAACTACGATTTTTCCAAACGCTCGACCTTACATCGTCATCTACAGATTGTGATTTTGTTAATTTCTCTATTAAATCAATATATTGCTAGTAAAAGAATGGTCGTACTTATATAAATTTAATAGTGTAGTATAATACATGTTTTACATAAGAAAACCGCTGAATAAATTTCGTTTTAGCATTTGTTTTATCGTTATCTTTGGCATGGGAAATATCACTTTCATAAGAGCTACGATCGTATTATCACAGGCTGCTTCAAAACTGCCCATGCATGTCCATGCGCATGCCCAGAATGATCAATCAGGGATTTTCCACACATGTACAGTACTTGTCAGTAGTGAAGTCAAGATGCGATGGTGATTGCGTGTAAGCGGATGGTAGGATTAGGTCTACAATATGTTGAATTTTGTTGTTTTTAGATAATAAACAACATTTTAAATATGATAATACTGTAAAATGAAGACAAATAATAGATTTAGATAAGCATTACAATCTACGCGGCCCACGTGGCTTCAATTATGCTATGTTGTAGGCCTTGCCTGGCTAGCCTACGAAACGACTGGGCGAGAAAGACAAGACGATTTTACACAAATCGTACGTACTGCATGCCTATTAGAAATAGTTATTGTACAAACAAATCTGTTTTATGAACAACCAATTTCCTTGGTTTGACGACGTACAGTACATGAAATTTCTATGTCTGCTATAGCCTGTTCCTGTCTGTTTCGGCAATTGCCGATTACCGACGTGAAACTAATGGGCTGTCAGCCACAAAAAAAAATCACTTGGATTCTGATTAAATAGCAATCTCATTCATTCATTTATTTCAGACATCCATATGTCCATATCAGAAAATAAAGAAACACAACAAAAGGGTCATTCCATGTCAAATCACCCAATGGGTTTAACCCGACAGACTCTGATTTTGATGAAAATAAGTAATATAAATAAGTACTATTAAAAAATTCACACATTGTCAAAAACGTCAGGACAAACATAACATTCCAAAACTCAATTAAAAATAGCAAGTTCCAACAATCAAATTTATTACATGTTGAAACTTTAAACTGCTGAGGACGGGGATACAGCTGTGTGGAATGGTGGTGCTAATTATAATTAAATCAGTGCCATGGTCAGCTTGGACACCGTGGCTTAGGCCGATGCTAATTTCTAGTGCTGAAAGTTGAATTGGATTTATTCGGTGTGAACACCAAGAATAACCCACGAAAATCTGAAGAAGACTTATTTCCAATGGGGTCTATCTGGTGGTGATTGAGCAGTATACTGGGAGACAATCCCCTACTCTTTTCCCAAGAGTGTACTGCGTTCCTTAACATGGATATGAGCAATAATACACACAGGACCAACGGCTAAAGCGTCTTATCTGAAAGACAGTGCACTATCATAACTTGCATTTCACCCCCTCTAGCTGAAATACAAGGAGAGCAGTGATGAGAATTGAACCAGAGACCAAGACATCTCGATGGTTCGGTTTAGGGCAAATAGAAAAAGAGATTATCACTGCCGCCCGCATCAAAAATTCGAGAAAATATTGATGCGGGAATAAAAAAAAAAAAATTTTTTTTGCAGCATCCATTATTTCAACAGCATAAAAATAACAATGCAATTTTGTGACTTCAAATACAATTTCTTTAAGAAACTACAAAATTAAACCAATTTTTATACAATATTTACTATTACAGACCAAATATAAACAGTCCCTCCCTCATTAATAAAAACAAAAGTGAAATAATCTATTGTTCCGATTAGTGGCTACCACTAGTTTAGGGCAAATAGAAAAAGAGATTATCACTGCCACCCGCATCAAAAATTCGGGAAATATTGATGTGGGAATAAAAAAAAAAAAAATTTTTTTGCAGCATCCATTATTTCAACAGCATAAAAATAACAATGCAATTTTGTGACTTCAAATACAATTTCTTTAAGAAACTACAAAATTAAACCAATTTTTATACAATATTTACTATTACAGACCAAATATAAACAGTCCCTCCTTCATTAATAAAAACAAAAGTGAAATAATCTATTGTTCCGATTAGTTGCTACCACTAGTTTAGGGCAAATAGAAAAAGAGATTATCACTGCCGCCCGCATCAAAAATTCGGGAAATATTGATGCGGGAATAAAAAAAAAAAAATTTTTTTTGCAGCATCCATTATTTCAACAGCATAAAAATAACAATGCAATTTTGTGACTTCAAATACAAATTCTTTAAGAAACTACAAAATTAAACCAATTTTTATACAATATTTACTATTACAGACCAAATATAAACAGTCCCTCCCTCATTAATAAAAACAAAAGTGAAATAATCTATTGTTCCGATTAAAAAAAAAAAAAAACCGCCCTCACTCATCAATTTTAAAAAAAAAGAGATATCTTATTATCTAATAATTTTTTTGCCGTGGCTAGAGATACAGTACCGTATTTCTACTTCAATTTGCTAAAGGTACGGTAAATGGCATTACGTCACCATCACCCAATGAAGTGCCAGAATGTGCGCGACGTCATTTTTCAAGACTGGCATTGCATTGCAGATCACCCACAATGAGCGGTGAAACGAGAACGATGTACAGTTCTAGGAAATTAGAACATCAAAAAGTACAATATTGTTTGACTTAGTACTGTTATCGATAAATAGGCTTATGGTTCCATTTAAAAGAGTTTCATTAGCTAGGCCTATGAATAACCATTATCAAACAAGGACCGATTCCACCAAACTCTTGGCATGCCTCTAGGCCTTGCTTAAATTCTTCGCTTAGCGAAAAATATAAGCAAGCCTGCTCGGCCTTGCTTGGATTCTGCTTTTCGCGGCAGATGCTCTGGTGACATTGATCTGATGAGTGGCATAGGCCTATATCAGTCATAAACTTAGCCTAGTTCCTCCGTCATCATACCGTCTGAACTTCATAATCCCGACATCCAAAGTTTTAGTCCAAGATGCTTGAAATAATACCATGCTTTACAATCCTACCAAAATATTCATAAAATTTGAATGCACAAACATTTTCGTAGGGCTAGACTTCGTCACTGTTATGGTACAGAATCTAGGCCGAGATCGAGAGAATAAGTTCCCCTTCGTGATTATTACTATTGAGTCAAATTTTTCCAATAATTTTGATGCAGACCTTAATACTGTCATAGAAAAATAGGCGTACCACTCAATAATAAGAGTCATGTCATTTATATAGCCTTATCAAGCAAGGCATCATCCTTAGGACTTAGGCCAAGGCACATGTACAGTATACACACACTACTGCTAGTCTTTGGTAATCTATTTATATGACAACCTTGCAATTAAAAAAAAATGAATACACTGTAAACAAGAGAATTCATACAGGCCTACTTTTACTATAAAGTGGAACCATACGCCTACTTAAGAATGACAGTAAAGTCAAACAATATTGTACTTTTGATGTTCTAATTTCCCAGTACTGTACAATGATCGTT